CCCCAAAACCCCAAAACCCCAAAACCCCAGCAGATAACTATTATGAAGTATTCGTTTAATTCAAAATTAGAAATCAAAAATATTTGTTAATTTTAGTAGTTGTTCAATGCTTTAAACTTCAATCTGTGTCTTAGACGATAATCTCAAACTTTGATAAGTTTATCAGTATTCATTTTCATCTGAGATGATCATAGTACATTGGAATATTGTTGCTGTTTACATTGTTACTGCTAGTATTGTGGGAATTTCTTGAAATTCTTTAAGGAACATATCCATAATTAGCTTTTGAAGATGGAATCCCACTTACTGGATTGTTGTTAGATCTATCGTAGCTATGATGCTATGATTATCCATTATAAGATGGGTCTCTACTGAGCTTAAAGTCATTCGAAATATAATTATTGTATAGCTACTTGTGAGCTCTTTCATTTGAATTTCTATGGCCATATCTGCGGTCTCTCTCATTGATATCTTCTATAGTATTTTTACCACTGTTATTATTTGAACTTTTTCTCACATCATCTGAGGCTTTTCTATACTTGTTATAATTGTTCAGAGCAAGATTCTCTTTATTCTCAATTGAGGAGAACTAATCCTCATAATAGTTATGATACTTTGGGGGCTTCATTGCATTAATATCAAGCATATTTTATGATGGGTTTTAAGAGGGGTTTAAAGATGGGTATTTGTGAGGGACTCCTCCTACTCTGCCACTGATAGGTCTTGGAGCTTTTGGAAGATCTTTGATGACTTTTTCATACTTAGGGGTAATAGGATTTGAAGTTGAATCCTAAGTTGGCCCATTCCCTAGAATATTATTAGCTGCTATTCTAGTTGGCTAGCTGAGTTAGCGTTTGTAATTTGCCTTTGGTAATTTGTCTTGAAGTTACTTCAGAGCTCTAGGCATTTTTATTGTGTTGAGAAGTTACTCTTCATCATTGTAAGGATTATATTTATTTTCACAAGCAATTCTAATATGATCAGCAATTCTTGTATCAATAACTTGCTTTTAGAGATAAGGCTATTAGAGCATTTGCAGACATGTAGGTCTTACTGCAGGATTCGCTTAAAGAATACTTTTCACTAGATTCCCTAATTCAGTTGAATATTTACTTGAAGAAATTGGAGGGTAATCTACTGATACCACTTTCTTATACAAGCTTTTCAAATCATGAGCCTTAAAAGGTGGTCTCAATGCTATCATTTCATACAAAACACATCCAATGGACCAGATATCACTTTTTGAGTCATATGGACGATCTTTCCAGACCTCTGGGCTAGCATAATAAGGAGTGCCAGTTTAAGTGTAAAGCATCCCCTTTTTAGCTACTTTTGAAACATTGAAATCACCGAGCTTAATTTCTCCCTTAAGATTAACAAAAATATTTGCGCACTTGAGATCTCTATGACAGACTTTGAAATCATGAAGTGCTTTTAATCCGAGGAGCATCTGAGCGAAATAATTCCAGATTTCATATTCTCTAAACTGAGTGCCCTTCTTTTGATGCTCGGTCACCTTACTTAAGAGATCGCCGTTATCAGCATACTCCATAACTACACATAATGTCGAGGTTGATTCATCGATGAAAGATTCCTTGTATCCAACTACATTCGGATGACTAATATTCACAGATTAGATTAAGACTAAATAGATTTTATACTTACTTCACTGATGCAAGTAATCTTACTTCATTAAGAGCATTTTGTTTCTCCTTTTCTGATAGAGTTAGCATTTTCACCTGCAAAAGTTACAATAAGTTAGCAAGTAATAATTACCTTTTTAAGAGCGTATAAGCCCCCATCTGATATTCTTTTGACCAAGTAAACACAACTGAAGGCACCCTCACCTGGAAAATTAGGAGATCAGATAAATACCTAATTTTTTAAGAAAGCAGAAGTCTGTTATCATTAATCTTTAAAACGTTTAAATTTTATAATTTAACTACTATTTCAAAATTAGATAATAATATACTTGCTTCATGGGGTTTTGGGGTTTTGGGGAGA